TATGAGGCCTCGTTAAAATGTTCAGGTCTGAGTAGAATTTGGTCAAGGAGAGAATCTCTGTCATGCTTTTTTCTACTTTTAAAAATATTTGAGTCACATGACCGCATTATTATGAAAAAAAATTTTCATACAAACCAAAAATTAACACAGTATTTAATACAAAATAATTCATAAATTGTGGGCGAGAATACTTATACTTAAAAAGGCAGGGAACCACTGATGCATGTGAGAATACAAACTGTTTTTATGGGGACCAAATCATTATTTAAACCCCCTGTGGAAAGAAAATAACACTGTCAGGGAAGAGAGAGAATCCCCCTCTGCCCTTTCCCTTGAGGTTCTTCTCTCTGGCCAAATAATTAACAAGACAAGTTAGCAGGAGAAAATAATACCAAGTTTAATAACAAGTATACATGGGAGAAACCAAGGAAACTGAATATCTCAACACAATGGCAGAGATTCTCGTCTTAAATACCATCTTCAGCTAAAGACAAAGGAGGATGTTGGGGGTGGGGATGGAGACAGAATGGAGACAGAAATCACAGTAATCAAGGGTATGCAGATGTAAGGCCTTATCCTCCACACTGATAAGTTTCTAGAGAGGCCATCCCCCCTTCCCCTCAGAGAGGGAGATACCTTTACAAATGGAGATTTCCCTTGTAAATGTAAATGTTTGTCTGGCAACTCCTTGCAGGACTGCCTAGAGAATGTGGCCGGGAAGAGACAGAATTTTTGATAAGAGGGGCTTGTTGGTGCCTTTCCTATTGTAACATCTATTTTACATTCTATTACAGCCATCATATGATAGTAACTCCTTCCTGGAACAGGTCTTTTATGTTAAATTATTTAGGCAGTTAGTGGGAGAGGTCAAATGTCTGTCAGAGAAAACAATCAACTTAAAGAGACATATTTCAGGGTGGCCAAATCTTGATCTCCCACAACACATAGATTAACATGGTGTTTATTTTGCAGACTCTAGTTTCCAGATTAAGGTTTTCAAAGTTTGTGCAACACTGTACAAACTAGATCTGCTCACAGTAAGATACTCCACAGTGGGTGGCAGGGTGTCAGACCTATCTCTTATACTTTCTTTAATTTTGTGGCACTCAGCACAGACAGACAAGTGTGACCGTGTCGTGTCTGTAGTCTTCCCTTTTCAAATTAAAAGCTCCCTTAGGGCAGGGCCTGATTTCCAGCCCCAGCAGGGGAAGGAGCACTAGACCAGAAGCTAAAATGCCTCAAGCGGCAAGCTCTGCTCGGTCACTCACGGGCTGTGTGATCCTGCACAGCATCACTGCCTGTCTCTCCAATTCCATCTTCTCAGGTTTAATGGGGCAAAGCCACCTGTGTTTGTCCTACCTCCAAAGCTTGTTTTGAGGCTAGAACTAGATAAGGCAGGTGGAAGGCCTTTCACAACCGTCACATATGGTTCTAATGTGCGGTTGCCAGATAAAATATAGGATGCCTAGTTATATTGGAAGTTCAAGCAAACAATGAATACTTTTTTAGTATAAGTATATCTCACATATTGAATGGGATATACTTATACTAAAAGCCAATTTGTTATTTATCTGAAGTTCAAATTTAACTGCGCATCCTATATTTTTATTTGCTAAATTTGGCAACCCTGTTTTAATATCATATAACAACAGCAATGGAAACAATAGCAAATACTCATCTAGCAGTTACTAAGTCCAGCAACTGTCCTTTGTTACATATATTAACTCACTTAATACTTATAAGGAAGGTGTATTATTAGCCTTATTTCACCAATGAGGAAACTGAGGCAGTAACTTGTCCAATGTCACACAGCTACTGTGTTCAGGCACACAAGTTCTCTCATGACTCCTATATAACCTGGATTTTGTGCTCAGGCCTGACTTTACACTTCAAGTTCTCCTGATGAGTTCACTGCACCCTTCTTGTCACCCATGCAACATTTTTGTTTTAATAAATATGATCACTATACAGGAAATAACTATAGCTTTATGCATAGTGAAGGAGCTACCCACCACCCCCTTTCTTGTTAATCCTCCTTCCTCTCCTTCCCCTGTCTCTGCCCAGTGTTCCTAAGCTGGCCTGGACCCCCAGTCAGCGGAGGTGGGCAAAGTGAGGGCTCTCAGGGAGTCCTCCCCAGCATATGGGTATCCCCCTCTGGACTTTGGCATCTGAGAAGGTTCTTGGTGCCCTCACTTCACACCACTTGGGTGGCTGTTGTTCTACTTATAATTAAGAACCCGGCTGGATGGGTAGCACTGGTATGGCAGAGTCACTAATAAATGTGAAGAAATGCATGAATTGCCCTTGTGCTGACCTTTTCTCCCAGTAATCTAAAACAGAGGTGACTCTTTGTCTAGTTTATTTTGTTTCCCTGTGATACAAAACATCATTATTCCTATTGGTGTGGATGGTGAGCCATGGCAAAGTAATTTTTATAACATCAGGGAATTCTTTCATCAGTTGCCCAGATATTACTAAGCACCTACGATAAGCCAGGCTCTGTTCTAGGGACTCGGGGTAGATCTGAATGAAACAGGTAACAATCTCTGCTTCCTAGAGTTTATATTCTAGCTAGGAGAGACAGGCAATAAATAAACATAACAGATAAGCAAATTCTATAGGAAGTTAGGAGGTAAATACTATAGACTAAAAAAAAATATAGTCAGGGGATTAGGAGTACAGGAGGGTAGGGGGTGAGGAAACAAATTGCAATATTTTAAAAGGCAGTCAGAGGAGAAATTGAGATTTGAGAATTTCTTGTTGAGATTTGGCAAAAGCTTGGAGGAGGTGGCCAAGGAAATACCTGGGTGATGAGGTTCCCAGCAGAGGGAAGGACTAACACAAAGGCCCTGTGGGAGTGTGCCTAGTGTCTTTGGGTCAGCACCAGCCCAAAGTTCTCGGAGACAAGTGAGACAGGGGCAGAATAGAGATGAGGTCTGAGAAGGGGGAGAAGCCACATCATACAGGATCTAGTAAGGACTTACTCTGATTGAAACCCTACTTGGAAGACTTTGAGCAGAGAGTGACACATCACTCTGGCTGCAGTGTGGAGCGGGAAGATCTATAATTCACAACTCAGATTGGTTGTGCAAGTGTGGGCTTCAGGACATCCCTGGGTCTCATCCTCCCTCCATCTTTTTTTTTTTTTTAAGAGTTTTTTTTTTTTTCTTTTCTTTCTTTCTTTATTTTTTTTCCCCCAAAGCCCCAGTAGATAGTTGTATGTCATAGCTGCACATCCTTCTAGTTGCTGTATGTGGGACACAGCCTCAGCATGGCCGGAGAAGCGGTACGTCGGTGCGCGCCCGGGATCCGAACCTGGGCCGCCAGTAGCAGAGCACGCGCACTTAACCGCTAAGCCGCGGGGCCAGCCCCTCTCTCCATCTTAAAGTTCAGGCCCAGGGCCTGTGTAGGTGTGTCATTGAGACTCAGATCTTTTAGGATTTCATATGATCCCACTGAGGGCTCTGAGCTGGGTGCCACTGCTTCCAGCTGAGGGCAGCAGTAAAGTGACAAAAACAATCTGTAATTTACAAGACGATTTTCCCAAACTTGAAGATTTGTTTTAAGTTTAAGTGATTGTTTTTCTTAACATAAAATAGTTTAAGGGCTTGCTACCACCCACCAAAATTAGTTAACTGATAAAGCCTAACAGATAGAGACTACCAGGAATACACCTGTGGTTCAACAAAGTTAAACTTATTAACCTGCCACAGCAGGGGAGATCATGCACTGAGCAATAGTGGGAATCCGGGAAAGGGCAGTAGGGAGGGGCCTCTTACAGGGTTGAAGCTGGCGCTGGGTGGTTCTGGGGGAGAGACCAGCAGAAGAGGAGACCAGCTCTGGACCGGGTGCTGTTGAGAGGTGGGCAGCTTAGGAACTGGGTGTCTCGGCAATCTTTGTTGGGAGGTGGGAGGGAAAAATGAAGTGGGGCTGGGAAGACATTAGTAAAAAAGCTGTAATTACTCAAAAGGAGGCGATTGTTAGTTTTTACGCAGCCATGGTGTGGCCTTGGGAGAAACACTGTTTTCTATCGGCTTTGCCACTGTCTTTGTATCTGTTAGGTACACCGTGGTCTGATTATCAGTGGAATTTTCACTTTCTCAAGGTAGAGAGACTACAGAAGAGCAAATTAAGGGCTTATGAAAAACTGCCTATGGGAGCTCAAGATGCAATACGCAGCATCTGAGAGGACAGTGGGCATTAATGAGGAAACAGGATTAAACACGTTTTAATTTTCATAGTTTTACAAATAACTCTTAGAAGCTGGGATATTCCAGACACCTTTTGTTATTCATTATCTTTAAGTATTAACTGTAGTGTGAAAGCACAGTGCTAAGGGTTTTCCATGAACTCTCATTTAATTTTCACAACCACCCCAGGCTAGGTACTGTTATTACTATTTAAAAATTACTACTACTACTATTATTATTATTGCAGATGGAGATGGCAGGAGCAAGAGAGGTGACTCAACTTGCTCAAAGACACATAGCTAGGAATGGGAGAAGCCGGGAGATAAGGGAGACAAGCTGACTCCAGAGCCTTTGCGCCGCCTGCACGTTATTCTCTTGGGCTTAGAGATCACACCTTTGATTGGAGGAGTAAGAGAGAACATTTATTAAGCGTTTACTACGTACGAGACACTAAGCTCAGTGATGGCCACGCAAATCGTATAATCCTCACAGCAACCCTCTGAGGCAGGGCCTACTATCAGCCCCATTTGAAAGATGAAGAAACTGAGGCTCAGAGATAATGGGTATCTAGGTCAAGTTCATACAGCTGGTAATTGGCAGAGCCAGTACATGGGGAGGTGTGGATTCCAGCCTAGGTGCCGAATCTCCTCCTCCCCGCCTTCCACCGCATCAGCCTCTGCTAGGAAGTACTCCTCTGGTTCAGCACTCTGGAAATTGGGACTTTGGTTCCCTGGAGGTGGAGCCTGGAGGGGGCGTGGCCACCTGGGGAGGACGGCCTGCCCCGCCCCTCGCCGGCGGACTGTCTCGTCCACCAATCAGAGGGCGCGGGGGGCGGGCCGCGGGCTCCCCGGCTCCGGCCGGCAGATCAAGCGGCTAGAGCGCTGGGAGACGCGACGCGGGGCCGAGGGGAGCGAGCGGCGCCTCGGTCGGCCTCCCCCCCCCCTCCCCTCGCCTCGCCGCCTTCTCCCCGCGGCCGGCCCGGAACTATGTGATCCCGGAAGTTCCGGTGCCATTGCTGTGTGGGATAAACAGTAATGGCGGAGGCTGCAGCTCCCGGAACAACAGCCACACCATCAGGAGCAGGAGCGGCAGCGGCGGCAGCGGCCTCCCCTACCCCTACCCCCGCGGTCACCTCCCCGTCCCCGGGGGCGGGGGGAGGGGGAGGCGGCAGCGGCGGCAGCGGCGGCGGCTGGACCAAACAGGTCACCTGCAGGTGAG